AAAAACATCGTGTGAGCATTGTGTTTGCAAATGGGGGGGGCTGCGCCCCCCCCAACCCCCCCGCTTTTTTTCAGCCAAAGCGCAAGAAAGTAGTTGAAACCCATCATGTGAGCAGGGTGTTTGCAAATGGGGGGCACAGCCCCCCCAACCCCCCCCGCTTCTTTTAAGCTGTACCAAGCGTGCTTCAAAGCCCTAGAAACTAGTAGAAAAACATCGTGTGTGCATTGTGTTTGCAAATGGGGGGGGCTGCGCCCCCCCCAACCCCCCCGCTTTTTTTAAGCCGTGCAGAGCGTGCTTCAAAGCCCAAGAAACTTGTTGACACCCATCATGTGAGCAGGGTGTTTGCAAATGGGGGGGGGGGCTGCGTCCCCCCCCAACACCCCCCGCTTCTTTTAAGCCGTACCAAGCGTGCTTCAAAGCCCGAGAAACTAGTTGAAAAAAAAGTATGAATCCGATGAAAATATAGAGGGAATGATAGAAACCAAGAAAACGAACCAAATAGGGTTTTCCCTAGGACAAACTAAGGAAAAGCAACGTACGCTTTGATGTTTGACGAAATCCGTCCAAAATGTAATCAGAAGAGGGTTTCCTTAGGAAAAACCAACGAAAACCTTGTTTTTTTTTCAAACCGTGCAGAGCGTGCTTCGAAGCCCAAGAAACTTGTTGACACTCGTCATGTGAGCAGGGTGTTTGCAAATGGGGGGGGGGGCTGTGTTTTCCCCCAACCCCCCCCGCTTCTTTTAAGTCGTACCATGCTTGCTTCAAAGCCCAAGAAACTAGTTGAAAAGCATCATGTGAGCCCCCCCCAACCCCCCCGCTCTTTTTTTTTGAAGCCGCGCAGAGCGTGCTTCAAAGCCCAAGAGGTGTTTGCAAGTGGGGGGGCTGCGCCCCCCCTCCAAACCCCCCAGCTTCTTTTAAGCCGTACCAAGCGTGCTTCAAAGCCCAAGAAACGAAGGAAATGACAGGATATCTGTCCAAAATGTAAGGAAAATAGGGTTTTCCCCCGAGGAAAAACCAAGGAAAACCTAAGGGAATTACAGGAAATCCGTCCAAAATGTAAAAAATAGGTTTTTCCCTATGAAAAACCAACGAAAACCTAAGGGAAATGACAGAAAATCCGTCCAAAATGTAAGGAAAGTAGGGTTTTTCCTAGAGAAAACCAAGAAAATCGACCAAAAAAAAAAAGACCCCCCCCCAAAAAAAAAAGACCCAAAAAAAAACTCCACCCGTTTAGGGTTTAGGGTTTAGGGTTTAGGGTTTAGTGGTAATTACCTTATAGGGGTCCTTATTATATCCTACTGTTTGGGGATCTATATTGGGGTCCTATCTTCGTAAACCCCCATATGACATGCTCTGGCAGGAGGAGCGAAGTGACACAAGACCAGGGTTTAGGGTTTAGGGTTTCTAGAATGTTTCAAGCGCGCTCCCGGTGAGGTTGTCCTTTAGACTGGGAAAGAAAGTCAACGTCCTCACAAGTCCGCGATTGCTTGGACGAAGAGGGTCCAACAACACGCAGATCAGAATCGTTGACTCCATCATTGTTTGTCATGCTGCACTTTCAGCCGCTGAAGTAGCCAGTTGCATATCAGCCACCAGGGTTAGAAAGCACCGGCTTTTGAGAGGGCCACGTCGCCGTGTCCATAACATGCACGTTGGGAAACCCCATGTGAGTTGAACCCTAAACCCTCAACCCTACACCCTAAACCCTAAACCAGCGGAGGCGGGAAAACCTCCGCGACCTCCTCTCAGAGACGCTGGATGAAGCGCAGCACGGCAGCAGAAGCGCCTATCAGGGTGCCCGTGTGGCGTATAGGCTGTCAATATGGGGGTTTACGAAAATAGGAGAGCCCTATTGGGGTCCTCATTTCTTAGGGAAATCCTACTGTTTGGGGGGTCTATATCGGGGGTCCCTTATTTTCGTCAACTCCCATGTTACAATAAGGGCGCCCCGTTTTTTTTTTTTTTGTTGGGGGGGGGGGGGGGGGGGTTGGTTAAGAGAACCTTGAACCCTTGAACCAAAGCAAGGGGTCTATACTAGGGCTCTATTTGGGGGTGTCTAGTGGTCCTAAACCCTCAACCCCAAACCCTAAACCCTAAGCCCTAAACCCTAAACCCTAAACCCTCTATGGTCGTAAACCCTGCATATTGCTTGGGCGGCAGCAGGGCTCCGAAAGCATTTTTACGTTTTCTCACCCCAAGGTTTGCTAAGTTGCACCTGCAAGCGCCCAGAGCGTCGTAGGGTTTAGGGTTTAGGGTTTAGGGTTTAGGGTTTAGGGTTTCGGGTTTAGGGTTGAGGGTTGAGGGTTTAGGGTTTAGGGCTTACCCACAGAAATCACGAACATCAGGTTGCTAGGACCCCCTGCAGGAGCAAACTATCTTGTGCTCAAGTTTTTTGCAAGTGAGGGGCGTTAGCATGCTCACCTTATGGGGGCAGGCTACATGAACCCGAAGCCACGGTTTAGGGTTTAGGGTTTAGGGTTTGGGGTTTGGGGTTTAGGGTTTAGGGTTTAGGGTTTAGGGTTTAGGGTACATTCAGTTCGGCTTGCAGTAGTTTAGGGTCCATTGGTTTGCCAGGTCTTCGCAATAGCTGGTGGTGAAGTGTGAAGCTGAAGCAGGTAGTTTTTCAGATGTAATACTTAGGGGGTCGGAATATTTACTACAGTGATAGTTTTCCCCTATGGCCCCCTTAGAACTATACCACAATAACCATCAAAGCCCAATAAGGCCCCTGGGTTTAGGGCGCTTATTCCCCTATCTAACCCTAAACCCTCAACCCTCAACCCTAAACCCTAAACCCTAAACCCTGGCCCCCTTAGGACTATACCACAACAACCCCTATATACACCTTATGTAGTTCCGATATGCCTAAGGAGCCCCGAAGGAACCTCTCCCCAAGGTCCCTTACCTGTTTCCTGCAATCCCTCTAAACCCTAAACCCTAAACCCTAAATCCTAAACCTCAAACCCTAAACCCTAACCCCCCTGCTTGAACCCTCCTCCTTCAAGAACCCTCTAATCCAGGCAGAGCACCGTGCTGAAGTCCACCTTGCTGTTCGGCTTCGTGGCGCCTTTGCGTCCCAAGTGGGGGGTTTACGAACTGAGAGGGTTTAGGGTTTAGGGTTTAGGGAAACCCGAAAAGAGGGGTGCCCTTTTTGGGGGTCCCTTTTAAGGGGATTGCATTCTATTTGGCCGAGGGTTATAAACCCTAAGCCCGAAGCCCTGAACCCCCTAACCCGGGGATTCCCCAAGGTTTAGGGTTATAAACCCAAAGCCCGATACCCCTGAACCCAAAACCCTGAACCCATAGAGGTTTGGGCCCCGGTCAGGCGACAGGGTTTTTTTTGTTTGGCTTTTGGGGTGAGGGTGTGGGGGGTGGCGGGGTTTAGGGTTTGGGGGTTAGGGTTTAGGGGTTTTAGGGCTTAAAGGGTTGAGTACCTGATCTGGGGCCTAGCAACCCCCCCCCCCCCCCCCAAAAAAAAAAAAAAAAAGAAAAACTTGAGGAAGTCGTGTGGTGGGAACTTGCGCTCCACGATATTATACGATCGGGCTCTACCCTACACCCTAGACCGTAAACCCTACTACACCCCAAAGCACCTTCTCAAACCCAAGAGCAGACCCGAGAAAACCTTGGCATCGTCCTCCACCTGCCTTGGCAAGGTGGCGGTCCTCGTGGAAGGCTTTCCTTCGCCAGAGCGCCTCGACTCCAAGGGGGTCTTATGGGTTTAGGGTTTAGGGTTTAGGGTTTAGGGTTGAGGGTGTTTGCGACCTTGTTAGGGGGGTTCAGAGGGGGTTTTACAAGGGTTTACAAGGGCTTGCAAGGGTTTGCAAGGCCTTGCGAGGGTTTTACAAGGCTTTACAAAGGGTTTACAAGGCTCTATAAGGGTTTACAAGGGTTCGGTTTAAGGGTTTTTTCGGGTTTCTCAGGGCTTATAGTGCTTAGGGGGGTTAGGTAGGGGCTTGTAGCGGGTGAATAGCGGCCAAAAGGTTGGCAGTTCAGGCTTCGGGGGTTTAGCGGCTCCCTGGGCTTCTAGTTATACTGTAGGGTTTAGGATTTAGAGGCGATGAAGTACCCCATAGAATGGCTGTGCAGTGTAGAATGAGGGGGATAACAGGTACCTGCCCCTGCCAAGAAATTACGAGAATGGGCCATTCTAGACACTCTTGGATTCTACCAGAAGGGTTAAGGTTTTGAGGTTCAGCGGCTTCTGCGATCCGAATAGGGATTTGGGTCGGGTTGAGGGTTGTAGGGTTGATTTGCGAACCCTAAACCCTAAACCCTATAAACCCCAAACCCTAAACCCTAAGCGGCCCTAAACTCTAAACCCTAATTGCGTCGAAGGCTTGGGCTTTGCTCGAGTTGTGAGCTTACAGGGCTTTCGTGGTTTATGTTTTCGGGGTTTTGGTTGCCGACAGGCCCTGAATTGCAGCCCGAGGACCCGCAGAAGAATCTGCCTAAATCCTAAACCTGCAGGGCTTCAGCCCTAGAGGTGTACGGGCTACCTGGCATCTTTAGGGTTTAGGTTTTAGGGTTTAGGGTTTAGGGTTTAGGGTTCAGGGTTTAGGGCTCTACTGGAATCGTCAAGGTACATCGCCCTCTAAGGGGGTGCAGAGGTTCCTCTGGGTAGGGTTGGGGCGAATGCGGTTGCAGAGCCGAGGAACACGAACGAGCGCTTCATCGACGTTTTCGTGTTCACGGTTTCCTGGGCCATCTGCTGCCTCTTCCAGCACCTTCGACGCCTTTGGGAGGGTTCTTAAGGGTGGTCTGTAACCCACGGCTCCGTAATACTCCCCACTACTTAGGGTTTAGGGTTTAGGGTTTAGGGTCTGAGGCTCCCGAAGCTTCCTTAAGGTTCCGAGCACCTTCGAGGCCTTTCTTGCAGGACTGGCTCTGCCCTGAGCCAGAATTCCAAGCCTGAAGTCCTCTAATCCCGAACCCTTCAGCCCTACGAACTCATAGAGCTCCCACATAATTTTTAGGGTTTTGGGTTTTAGGGTTTAGGGTGTAGGGTTTAGGGTTTAGGGACCCGAAATCCTCATACAGAAGAGCATCCTCCGTGAGCCTCGCCTCTGAAACGATCCCAGGGGTTGCTGTGATGTTGGCCATCTTGCGCTTCGATATTGGGGGCTGTAGCTGTTGTATTCGATGTGGCCAAGGTTTTTGCGGTTTTGAGGTTAACGAAACCCTGAACCCTAAACCCTAAACCCTAAACCGCGAACTAACCAAAGCTTCAGCCCATTATCGTGATCAGACCGACAGTCTATACTGTACCTCCTTCGGTCCCTACTCAAAGCACTACTCCCCTTCTATAACAATGAGAAGCGTCACCCCGAAAGCGGGTTTAGGGTTTAGGGTTTACCGTCCTATAGACAAGGTCGATCGTGCTGGCCGGCCTGTATCAGGTGGTCCAGACGAGGGCTCTTCGCGAAGCCTGGCCAGCATGGTTTAGGGTTTAGGGTTTAGGGTTTAGGGTTTAGGGTCGAGGGGGGGGGAAGTGGGGGTGGGAGTCATGGCCTGTTTAACCCAAGTACTGCGCTTAGAAGCGTGGTAGAAGTACAGCTAGTGAAAACGCTCGAAACTCCCTGGATCTGGAGTTTGGTTTCTTGTACAATGGCTTGATTTTGCATGCCAATAGCTGGGTCAGTGGGTACCAAGCCTCTCTGCCTGCGCGCTGGCGCGGGAGCGCCTTCTCAGAGTACGAGACCTTCGTCAGTGCGCTGTCGCTGTGGCAGGGTTTATAGGGTTCAGGTTTTCGGGTTGGGTTTTTTTGCTGGGTCAAGCACAGCTTCTCTGAGCAATCGTGGGATGACTGGGACAGCTACATGGCCACAGGAAAATGCGACAGGATGCGAATATGAAGTGCTAGTCTAATCCCTAAACCCTAAACCCTAAACCCCCTCCGCCCGCCAAGGAAATGATTCGTGGCCTGCAAACTTCTAGCAGTGCCTGGGACGTGACCTTAGTGGGCACCTTCCATCTCTACACTCCTTAGGAACTCGGTCGTTGTGTTATTGTTTTTGTCTCTACAAGCCTTAAGTTAATATTCATGCAACATATCCTTATTGCATTAAATTATCCTAAGCCCTAAAGCCTAAAGCCTGAACCCTAAACCTTGCAAGGGGGTCTCGCCCTTTGCATGCAAATACGTCACGACGACGGGAAGTTCCAAAAGTCGAAAGATCTTAACGTCTTCCCAGCTTGGTAGCCCAGTGGTACCCTTTCCCCTGTTTTTTGGTACAAGGTTCCCTTGTAAAGAAACCAAGCCAAAAACATGGTGCCCTTAGTAGAATATGGTAACTCTGCTTCCGAGCCTGGTTAAGGAAATGTTCCCTGATCAGGTTCGTGAGGCGCTTGACCTGGGTAGCCTAGGATTTAGGGTTTAGCGTTTAGGGTTTAGGGTTTGGGGTTTAGGGTTCAGGGTTTTTGTGTTTAGGGTTTAGGGTTTAGGGTTTAGTGTCTCCGCTGCCCTGAACCGGCCTTAGGCAGTGCCAGCAACCCCTTTGCGGACGAACTCACACGGTCAACCACCATGGACCTCTGGTTGCAGATTATGCCACAGCTTATGGGGTTCTTAAGTGAGGGGTGGGTACCTTGGGAACCTTAGTGAAGCTGAGGGAGCCTTCAAAACATACCCCCCTTGAACCCTCCCCTCCCACAAGAACCCTGGAAGCATCTCTTGCTCATTTGGAGGTTCAGGGTATTTATTCACCAACTAAAACTGTACTTTTAGCTGTACTTAAAGGCCCTAGTATGGTTATAAGTGCAGTCATAAGGTACAGTTCTACTTGGTTAATAAGTACCCCTAAGCCCTAACCCCTAAACCCTAAACCCTTTAAGTACAGTTCTAATTGATTAATAAGTACCCTGTGTTTATCGTCCTCGAGCCCGATCTGCCTAGGGGTTTAGGGTTTAGGGTTTAGGATAAGCCTTGAACCCTAAACCCTAAACCCAAGTATGCACGCCTGAAACCTGGTTTTCGGAGGCCTTTAAACCACATGAACCCTGTGTTCGGGATCATACGACACAAGACCCCCTAAACCACAAGACCCCCTAAACCCTAAGCCCCAGAACCCCAAAACCCCAAAACCCCAAACCTTAAGCCGGCCCGTCTGCAGGATAGCGGCGCCCTCTCGGGCGCCTCAATCTCTGCCGGCTCGAGCCTGTCCACGCCGGATCTTCTTCGGTCACAGGTGCGGAGTTAGGGGCTTGGGCTCACGGTTTAGGGTTTATTTAATTAGGGGGTTTTGGAAGATCTGGGTATGTATGGTCCGTTACCCTAGGGTTTAGGGTGTTAAGGTTTAGGGGAGAAAGGCCTAGTTTCTGAAAAGTACCCCCGCAAAAACCCTCAAATTCGGAAACCTACCAATCTCGGGGGGTTGGTAGAGGGGAGCCATCCTATATCATATACTAAAGTCCACCTACTAGCAACTTTGTACTCCTAGAGGCCAGAAGAAAACCTACTAAGCTCATAATTTGTGCTCGTAGTGTCCTAGCCCCTCCCCACAACGTGCAGACTTTCAGTTCTATGGAGAATGACAGTATCTCAAAAAATGTAGTGTGTACTCATTCAGCTAGGATCCCCATTATGAATTAGGGTATATTCCTGAATGAAGGGGTTCTGGAAGATCTGGGTAGAGAACTCCCTTGATGCTGAGCCAAAGGCTCTCCCCGACCAGCAGCGGATAACGCTCCTCGGCTGACACGGGGGGGGGGGGGGGGAGGGCGGGAGGGAATGTTTCGGGTTTCGGGTTTGGGTTTAGGGGGTTAGGGGGGTTTAGAGTTTACGGTTTCATGCTCCCTAAACCCCAAACCCTTAACCCTAAACCCGAGACCTAAACCCTAAACCCTAAACCCTAAACCCTAAACCCTAAACCCTAGAACTAAACCCGAATGCCAGGTTCCCGAGGCCCTACGCTCTGCTTCATCCTGCAGCCCAGCGCTTCAAGCAGCGAGGCGCTGCGGTTTAGGGTTTAGGGTTTAGGGTTTAGGGTTTAGGGTTTAGGGTTTAGGGTTTAGGGTTTAGGGTTTAGGGTTTAGGGTTTAGGGTTTAAGGTTTAGGGAGCCCTTCAGGGCCCCCGTTTCTTTACTCGGGGTATAGGCGGGTTGAGATTCTGAGTGGGGAGTTCGGGAATTCCAGGTACCTTCTATTCCCTTGCAAGAGCCTGCAAGCCTCGAAGGTCTCTCAAAGCCAACGCCGACTCAAAAAAAAGGCGGCAGCAAAACGAGAAACCAGGGCAAAACGGCACCCCAAACGCCTTTGCCCGCTTAAAGATCCTTCTCTCGTCGGTTGGGGTTTGGGACATTTTACTTTTCCCTTATTGGGCTTAGGAGGATCAGATTCAGGGAGGCAACACCCCCACACCTTTACACCTCTACAACATTTAACCCCTACAACCCTTGAACCGCTACAAGACCCCCGACAACCCTAAAGCCTTTCTCTACTAAGAGCCCGGCAAAATCTTTCCTTGCAAAGACCACTTGGAGGTCCATGGTACTTACTAACCAATTATAACTGTACTGATAATTGTAATTATAACCATATTTTGGCACTTGAGGGGCTTCTAAGTGGGTTATAAGTACAGTTATAGTTGGTTAATAAGTACCATGAACCTCCAAGCAGCCAGGGCTCGGGGACCTCGACGTGGAGGCGCATGCGCCGAGGTACTCCTTCGCAAAGAGCACATTCTGACAGGGTTTAGGATGTAAAGTTTAGTTCGGGGAGTTGGGTTAGGTTCAGGATTTAGGGTTTTTCGGGTGTTTGTTCAATCCCGCGCCCTAAAAACCCTAAACCCTACTCCGAACGCTTCTTGCTAAGGCACCTAAAGCGGTGTGACACTGACGAGTCCATCAACTTCGGGCCCGCGAGCGGCAAGGCGTGAAGCCCAAGGTTTGAGGGAGTCGGGATGGCCCGAAAACCCTGTTGGGGGGGGGGGGGGGGGGGGGGTTTATAAAAGTTTATAGGGTTTATATAGGTTTTATAGGGTATTTGGGTTTGTAGGGTTTGTAGGGTTTATTTAGGGTTTATAGGGTATTTAGGGTTTATACGGTTAATAAGGGTTTACAGGGTTTATATAGGGTTTATAGGGTATTGAGGCGTTTCTAGGGTTTCTGGGGTTCATATGGTTTATAGGGTTTATTTGGGGTTTAGGCTAGCTTACACAAGCTGCGAATCACGGGGCCCTGGGCCCTAAAACCCTCTTTGGACTAAACCTCACAATCATGGGTTCCCCTACTACCCCGCTCTATACTACCCCACCCTAGGCTCCCCCCCTAAATAGCCTTAATTGGGCTTCAAATCCCCCAGGAATCTAGGGGGGTAGTATAGAGGAGGGTGGGAACCCATGACAAGTCCTGGGTGCAGCCCTTGGAACCGAAGGAGCCAGGGTCACCGGTGCCGACGCTACATGCCGCCCGATGCAAACCTTTCTTTCGACGGTTGGCGTTCAAGTAGGGGGTTTAGGGTTTAGGGTTTAGGGCTGCTGGTTTAGGGGCGAACTCAGAACCCTGCCTGGGACCATCTGGGACCCTCTTAACCTACAGGTTTATGGGTGATACCGACTACTTGAGGGTTGCTGCTACTAAACTCTAAACTCTAAACCCTAAACCCTAAACCCGAAGCCAGGTGAACTCTAAGGCCCTCGATAAACCGCTCCATGCCTGAAGCGTGATCAGGGTGTGAGGGTAGAAGGTGGTGGTTTCTTTAGGGTTTGGGGTTTGGGGTTTAGGGTTTAGGGTTTAGGGTTTATAGGGTTTATAGGGTTTAGGGTTTAGGGTTTCGGGTTTAGGGTTCAGGGTTTAGGGTCGAGACGCCAAGCAAATGGCCTAAACCCTAGACCCCTAGACCGTGAGACCAGTCAAATCACCTTAAACCCGAAGCCCTAAACCGTTTAAACCCTAAGCCCTCGAACCAGTCAAAACCTGACTCCGCCCAGGTGTTTGACCCGAAACGCCTGCTCTATCGGAGTCAGGCTCAGAGAGGTTTTTGGGAGTTTAGGGTTTAGGGTTTGAGGATTGGGGTTTAGGGTTTAGGGCTTCGGGTTTAGGGTGTAGGGTTCCTTTTTAAAAAATCGTGTTCAGGGTTTAGGGCTTCTAGGGTTGAGTCTTAGGGTTGAGGGCTTCGGGTTTGGGGCTGGGATCAGACTAGGGCCTGTGGGGCTTCGGCTCGGAGAGGTTCGAACGTTTGGGTCTTCGAGATTCTGTGTTTTTGTTTTAGGGGCAGCTTTATTTCCAAAGCCCCTAAACCCTCAACCCTCAACCCTAAACCGCAAGCCCTCAACCCTAAACCCTAAACCCTAACCTTAGAGCCCCCCCCCCACCCTCCCGCCGAGGGTTTAGGGTTTAGGGTTCAGGGTTTGGGGTTTAGGGTTTAGGGTTGGGTTTCGGGTTAGGGCCTGTCATACATCTTTAACCGAAGCTCTATGTAGCCCAAAGAACTCCCACACACCGCAGATCCGCAGCCCCTTCCCACGGAAGAGGCCAAACAGTTCGTGACCTTTGGCTCTCTCTTCACGCTGACACTGGGCTGACCTTGCGAGGGGTTAGGGCTTCGGGTTTAGGGTTTAGGGTGTAGGGTTTAGGGTTTAGGTTTTGGGTTTTGGTTTTTAACCCCAAACCCTGTGGCTTACAAACCCTACACCATGAACCCTACAGCCTGGGCCTAAACCCTACACTCTAAACCCTAAGCCCTGCCAGCGGCCCCCAAATCCTGAAATTACCTCTGGACCCCCCAATTCAAGTCCCCCAAATATTCCCCGGTTTGGGGTTTAGGGATTAGGATTGGGGTTTGACATCCTGAACCCCGCCAGGCCCTTCTGAGGGTCTTCAGATCTTGAGTCTTTTCTTACATCCTTCAATCAAGGAGCACTGATTCCCTAAATTCTTGCTAGGGGTCCTGCTATATGATCGTTGAAGGATGCTACCGGCAAATTCCGGGCATGAGCATCTGGGTACATTGGCTCAAACCCTCTACTTGGGCCTCGGTGGTACCCTTTTTCCCCTGTTTTGGGTTCAAAGTTCTCTTACAAAGTAAACAACCCCCAAAAACAGGGCGCCCTTATTGGAATATGAGTACAGACCTACCAAGTAAACTCGTAAACTCCTAAACTCCTAAACTCCTAAACTCCTAAACTCCTAAACTCCTAAACTCCTAAACTCCTAAACTCCTAAACTCCTAAACTCCTAAACCCTAAACCTTTAGTGCGCAGTGCAGGATCTGTTTGGCTGGATTGATCTACGGCCGGCTGTCAATGCGCAGGGGAAGCAAGCACGGACGCCGGGCTTCTGAGAAGCTCTTTCTTAGGTTTAGGGTTTAAGGTTTAAGGTTTAGGGTTTAGGGTGTAGGGTGTAGGGTGTAGGGATTAGGGTCTAGGGTAAGAAAAGGTACACCCTGAACTCTGAGGCATTTGTCTGGGCTTGTGGGCCTGCAACATTAGGGACTTGAGGGTTTTGGTGTTCTAGGGCTTGGATTCCCGAAGGTTCCTGTCCCAATTGTCGGGCAGTTTGACGAAGATGCCAACGGTTGGCAGTGTGGCTTCAGGGTCTGGCATCTAGTAGCTCTGGGTCAGGGGACCTAAACCCTACCTAAAGCTAGTCATGAGCCCTTAACAACAAAATTGTGCCGACAGGCTACTCCAGGTAAAGCCTAAACCCTCAACAGTCGGGGTCTAGGGTTTCGTGTTTAGGGTTTAGGGTCCAGGCTTTAGGGTCTAGGGTCTAGGGTTTAGAACTGAGGCGAAACCCAAAGCGATGCCCTGTGTCGCTGAGGAGAGGGCTCTTCCGATGTGTGCATCCGCCTAGGCCCCGAGCCAGACTTCGGGTTTCGGGTTTAGGGTTCAAGGGCCCTGAATTTGAGCCGTGAATTGGGACCTGTATATTTGTCCCTTAAATACCCCAACATGGAACAAAAGCGTTTGGGGATTTGGTTTCGGCGCCTCGAGTTTAGGGTTGAGTTTTTGTTTGGGGTTTTAGGTTGGAGGGTTTTGTTTTGCCTTCAGGGTTTAAGGTGTTGCGCTTTAGGGTTTACGGTGTAGGGCTTGGCGAATCGAAGATCCATCATGGCCATGAGAAAGATCCTTGTTGGTTCTTCCTTCTTATTCCAAGGGGTACGGAGGAGGAAGCAGAGGTGCAAATTGTTGGACTGTGTTCACTGGTGCAGGCTTGCAGTCCTCCTTGGAGACCAGCAGGAAGTGGGCTCTCTGAAGCCGTAGTTTACGAAAACAGGAAGCTCCCATTTAGTCCCCCCAAATAGCAGGGATTGATTGAATAGTAAGGACCCAAATAAGGTACCCCTAAGTTCGGAAACCCCTCAGGGCCCACATTCAAGCCTCTCACCTTGCCCCATAAGCTCCAACGCTGAACCTCAGAGCCTTTAATATCCCTAAACCCTAAACCCCAAACCCCAAACCCTAAACCCTAAACCCTAAACTTCAAACCCTAAACCATAAACCACGGCGTCCAAACTCAGAAAAGCCCTGCCAGCAGCCTCCGAATCCCAACCACAACTGTGCTTCAATGCCTCCACCCTAAACCCTAAACCCTAACCCCTAAACCTTAAACCCTAAGCCCCTCCACAGGCATCTTCCTCCCGCCCTTCATCTCTGCCACCTTCTCGCTGATGCTGCGGAAGCATGCGCCGCTTGCTTGAGGGGTTCGGGGTGTGGGGTTTAGGATTTAGGGTTTAGGGTTTAGGGTTCTAGGGTTTTAGGGTTTTCGGGTTTTGGGGTTTTAGGGTTTAGGGTTTAGGGTTTAGGGATTTTCGAGGGTTTCCAGGGTTTAGAAAGAGAGTTTGGAGGGTTTCGAGAGTTTCCAGGGTTCCAGGTTTAAGGGTCGGGTTGAGGAGACGGTCAGGGCGCTTTCAAAGATTCTAAGACCTGCTTCGGCCTAGATACTGAAGCGCTTTCCAGCCAGCCCCCCCGTACAGGCCCTAATCCTTGAACCCTGAACCCTAAACCCTAAACCCTAAACCCTAAACCCTAAACCCCTAAGCCCTAAACCCTAAACCCTAAACCCTACCTTAAGGGTACCCTTAAATGGGGGTAGGGCATCTTACAGGTCTCTTGGTCTTGGGGAACGCAGGTAAGCGAAACTTCAAGAAACCTAGTGCCCCTAGAACCCTGAGACGCGAAGACCTCAAAACCCCCAAACTCTAAAACCCCAAATCCCTTCCAAAATCCCTAAACCCCTAAACACTCAAACCCTCACAAGCGGAGGAACCCCGAAATCCCCCAAAACCCTAAACCCTAAACCCTAAACCCTAAACCCTAAACCCTAAACCCTAAACTCTAAACCCTAAACCCTAAGCAAACACAAGCGGAGGAACCCCATTCGCGCCACCTTGGCTGTGCAGAGCCTCTCTTCGCTTTGCTTCTTCCTGCCTCTCGGGGCCCATTCAGGGTTTAGGGTTTAGGTTTTCGGGTTTAGCGTTTAGGGTTTAGGGTTTTAGGGTTTAGGGTTTAGGGTTTCCCTGATTGGGTCTAATAGGATCATATTCAGGAATGTTTTTTTGCAAATGTTTTCAATGACCATCCTAGTGCTGTGTATGCTTGGGTTTCGGGTTTAGGGTCTCTACTTCTTGGATCCACCACCCCCTAGGCCCTGAACACCAGAGTCATAGGGCTTACCTAGCCTAGAACAACCTCATGAGTAGCCGACATGTCCTTACACTTCAATTACTGAGGCGCACTTTTCCCTGCTTCAGGGCATTCTAGGCTACTCTACGCAGGGTTTAGGGTTTAGGTTTTAGGTAGTGAAGGCAAGAAAACAGCCGTGCCCTTTCGCAAAAGCAAGTTGAGGTCGGCAGCTGTGGACAGGCCACGATTCCTAAAGCCTGCAAACCCGAAAGCCCTAAAAACCCCTGAGGCCCTAATTGAACCCTCAACCCTAAGCTTTACGCCCTGACTAAACCCTAAGCCCTAAGCCCGAATTAAACCCTAAGCCCTGAGCCCTGAACCCTAAGCCCTAAATTATGCCCTAAAACCTTAAATCTAAACTCTCATACGCCCTCAGACACAAAGGCCGGCCTGTCGAATCGCAACTCTCCACCCGAGCCTAAGTTACTCCTCCAACAAACTCTGCCAAAGCCGAAGACCTGAACCCTAAACCCAACCATGTGCCGCAGCTGTTGATCCTAAACCGTCCTCGAACTTGCTGTAGCTCCCCTAGCTTTCCCAAAGGCTCCATGTATTGAAGCATGAGCAACTTTATGGCCTGAAGTGCACATAATATGTTACACCCTAAACCCTCTAAACCTTAAACCCTCAACCCTCAACCCTCAACCCTAACCCCTAAACCTGAAACCCGAAACCCTAAACCCTAAACCCTAAACCCTAAACCCTAAACCCTAAACCCTACACCTACTTGTGTTTTGTTGTTGAAGCCTTGGGGTCTCTTGAGGTCCTTAGCCTGCCTCGCCATCACCACAATTTGGTGGCACGCCTCCGCACCGCGCCTTTGAGAGCAATCAAGCGAAACTCTGAAAGGGTCGAAACTGCGGGTTTAGGGTTTAGGGTTTAGGGTTACATCTAATAAGCAGAAACAAAACATGAGCATCTACATAGAATACTTCTGTATATGTGCATGTCCACATACTCATGCAAGTTATTAAGAAGTCAAAGCAGACCTCGCTGTGCAAAGAGGAGCATCAACCTGGCGCGCACGCATGGCGCGGAGGAGACCTATCTGAAGGGCCTGGGGCCTCGGTAGGGTTTAGGGTTTAGGGTTTAGGGTTTAGGGTTTAGGGTTTAGGGTTTAGGGTTTAGGGTTTAGGGTTTAGGGTTTAGGGTTTAGGGTTTAGGGTTTGCTTTGTGGCAGTATATTTGGGTTGAGGTATTAAATTGGGTTACAAGTGTTCCAGCTTTGGCTACACCCTTGAGGGTGTATGGAGCCAACGGAACGAAGTGCTTGTCTCCCCTAAGGGCACGGTTTAGGTTGAGTGTGAAAGTCAGGGCTTGCGAGCTCTCAACGTCCCCTAAAGAAAAGAAACCCAGTCAAAAAGGGGCCCTAAGCACCCTAAACCCATCAACCCTCGTAAACCCGAAACTCCCGTAAACCCCTACACCCCGAAATCCCTAAACCCCAAACCTAAACCCTAATCCCTAAACCCCCTAAGCCCATAAACCACAAAACCCCGAAACTCCCTAAACCCTAAACCCCTACCCCCCCAAACCCCCCTCAACCCCATAAACCCCCCAAAACGCGGTAACCCCTAAAGCCCATAAAACCCTAAACCCCCTAAACCTTTAACCCCTACACCCCTAAAACCCCCTAAACACAAAGCGTAAACCCCTTAAACCTCCTAAAGCCCCTACCCTAAACCCCTAAACCCCCTGAACCCCCTAAATCCAAAAATCTACTAAAGTCCCTAAACCCCCGCAAGCCCCCAAATCCCTAAACCCCTAAATCCGTAAATCCCTACATCCCTCAACCCTAAACCCCTAAATCCCCAAACCCCTAAACCCCTAAACCCGAAACCCCTAAACCCCTAAACCCCTCGATCCCTAGACCTTACATTACATCTCCCCAAACCCCCTCAACCCCTGCAGTGCCACGGTGCCCCAGGCAATCCCAGGCATCTCCTTGCAACCCTAAACCCTAAACCCTAAACGATAAACCCTAAACCCTACACCCTAAACCCTAAACCCTACCCCTAAAGAGGCATCTCCTTGCAAGTGGATGGCTGGCCCATCTTCTTCCATCCCACCGGCGTGGCCGCGCGGGGCCTCAGCGAGCTCGTTTGGGGTTTAGGGTTTAGGGTTTAGGGTTTAGGGTTTAGGGTGTAATATAGGGGGTCGGAACAGTGACAAATGCCCTTATAGTGTCCCTATATACATATTTTTACAAGTATAACGCCCGACACCTTATTCTAATTGCTAGGCCACTATAATTACTAGGGTCCTTTCGTCAGACAGGAGGTTCGTATCATGGCTGGGACTGCCCCGAAAAGGAAGGCAGAAAAAGTCAGAGGGCCTCGGAAGCCCTCAAGGAGGAGTTTAGGGTTTAGGGTTTAGGGTTTAGGGTTTCGGGTTTCGGGTTTAGGGTTTAGGGTTTAGGGTTTAGGGTTTCGGGTTTAGGGTGGCTGGGAAGTGAGCTCATGCCCGTCGACCATGTCCGGGGCTCACAGGTTTGGGGTTCATTGGGTTTTTTTGAAGCGTTTGTAGGAGTTGAAGGGTTTAGGGCCTAGGGTTTAGGGTTTAGGGTTTAGGGTTTAGGGTTCCCCAACACCCCAAACCCCCAAAAGTGCAGGCTTCTGGGCCTACGCCCGAAGCCCCTGTCGAAACCCTAAACCCTACTAACCCTACTAACCCTACTAGCCCTAAACCTTAAACCTTAAACCCTAAACCCTACAGTAAACCCTAAACCCTAACCCCTCCCCCCCTCCCCCCCCCCCCCTCCCCCCCTCCCCCCCCCCCCTCCCCCCACAAAACAAAAACTCAGGTTTCTGGCAACTCGCTGTTCCTGTCTGCAGCCTTCCGCATCGCCCGCTTCCGGCTCGCCGGCGGCGTGGCGCGCTGGGTGGGCTGCACCTGGGGGGGGAGGAGGTTCAGGGTTCAGGGTTCAGGGTTTAGGGGTCTCGGGGTCTCGGGGTTTGGGTTGAGGGGCTTACGAGTGTAGTTCAGGCTTGAGGAGTCTAGGGTTCGTCGAGTCTGACATAGCCTGCCCCCGCGCTACAGAAGCGGATGCTTGGAGCTTAAGGATTGGCTGGGCAGCTACACCGAGGCTTTCTCTGCACCCCAAATACACCCCCAAGTGAGGGAAAACACGAAGCTCGACCCTTCAACCGTGCAACCCTTAAACGCTTAGGCCGCTTAACACTTAAAACCCTTGAGCCCGTACACCCCCCAACACCCCCAAACCCTAAACCCTAAACCCTAAACCCTATGAGCCATACAAGGTCTGGAGAGTGAAACCACTTTCCCTGGGCTTGAGATCGGCGCCTCTTGGCGTGCAGCCGGTAGGGTTTTGGGGCTCAATTATTATCGGTAAAAGCCCAAAACCCTAAACGCCCTAAATACCCTAAAGACCCCAAAAACCCTGAGACCCTAACACCCTTAGTCAGAAGAGCAGAAGCGCATGATGTCTGACATGTCGCGCCCATTTCAGACTATCGCCACCAAAGCAAAGCGCTTGACTCCCTCACGATGGATATTCGGTCCCTCAGGATATTAGCTTCTGCGGCAACCAGTCTGCAGTCAACAGCAGCGCCTTGGTCGCAAACCGTAAACCCTACAACCCTAAACCCTAACCCTAAAACACTGAAACCCTAAATCCTAAAATCCTGAAACCCTAAAACAGCCCTAAAAACCTAAAACCCTAAACCCTCAACCCTCTGCCACACTGGAGGCTCTGGAGGGGGCTCGGTGCTCAGTAGGATCTATCACCACCACCAAAACATGTGAAACCCAAGCCCGCCATAAGCCCTCAGCCCCTACGCCTTTACCCCTCAAAGCCCCTCAACCCCATGCCAGTGCCGAGCCCCCGCTAAACCCAGACCCTGAACACTATCAGTGCTAGATAAGTCCTCGGGCCCTATGGGCCCTAAACCCCCTCCATTCCAAGCAGTAGACCCCACCAAACGCCAAGAATTTCAAATCTCGGAGACGACGTTTGCCCTGGGGCTTCCGCCCCCTTTGAATCGGCCTTCGTGCTGGGTCTAGGGTGCAGGGTGGACCCAGACTCAGAACCCCAAACCCCAAACACCCCAAACACCCCAAAAAACCCCAAAACCCCAAAACCCCAAAAAAACAAGCCCCAAGCCCCAAACCCTAAACCCTAAACCCCAAACACCCCAAAAACCCCCCAAAAAAACCAAACCCCAAACACCCCAAACCCTAAACCCTAAATTCTAAACTGACGAGAGGTCTGGCCTTGGCCGGCCGGGACACCATTGCGGTCTTGGCCACGGAGGTCGGCACTCACTTTGGACAACGGCTGGGGTTTAGGGTTTAGGGTTTCGGGTTTTCAGTGTTTAGGGGTTAGGTTTAGGGTTTAGGGTTTAGGGTTTTTAGGGTTTTTAGGGTTTTTGGGTTTAGGGGTTTAGGATTCAGGGTTCATGGGGTTCAGGGTGAAAGGTTGAAGGGACGAAGTCCCTAGTCTTAAGTAGGACGCACGGGCCTTAACTTGGGTGTCCCGCCCGCAGGTGGTGACGAGATCTGCACGGGTCACCTGGCGCGACCTGCCCAACGCCAGCTTCGGCCGGAGCATCCAGGTAAGCCGACAGGGTTGGGCTTCCTAAACCCTAAACCCTAAGCCCTAAACCCTAAACCCTAAACCCTAAACCCTAAACCCCAAACCCTAAACCCTAACCCCAAACCCCAAACCCTAAACCCCAAACCCTAAACCCGAAACCCTAAACCCTCAACCTAGGGCTTCCAACATGAAAGTGAGTCTCCCGAACCGTCTCCCCCCCCCAACCCCCCAACCCCCCCCCCCCTCCTTCATGTCGGAGACAGCCCAGATCCTTGACACTCTGAGGTTTAGGGTTTAGGGTTTAAGGGTTAAGGGTTTAGGGTTTAAGGGTTAAGGGTTTAGGGTTTAGGGTTTGGCGTTGGAACCTTGAACGTTTCAAAACCTGAAGAGCTGCATACACACTGCATCCCTTTTCCCTCCCAAGGCAGTCTCTATCACACTGGTTTCCTCAAGCCTTAGCCGCTAGTTCTTTGGAAGGGATTGAGGTACCCTACATCTCCCTCAGCCGTCAACCCTAAACCGCCTTATCCGGGAATACACTGGTACCTCCCTAAACCCTAAACCCTAGACCCTAAACCCTAAACCCTAAACTCCTAAACCCTAAACCCTATTCTCGATTCTAAGAAGGATCTTAACGCGTCTTGGCCTCGCCAGGATCCCCTGGACACTTCCGCCGAGTCACTCCAGGCCTGGGTTTCAAGGGTTCTAAGGGGTTTGGGGTTTAGGGTGTTAAGGGGATAGGGTTTAAGGAGGGTTTAGGGTTGAGGCCTCTGCATTTAAGCAGGAAGGAATTCACTTGCAGATGGTGTTTGAGATAGAAGAGAGAACTACAGACAAGCACCCCCATGCCGCACGAAGAAGATGAGCGACAGCAGCCTCGGTAGCAGAACTGCATGACGCTAAACCCTAAACCCTGACTGCCATATTGGGAAAACGCAAGAGCAAATGCAGGTAGCGAGTTTACAGCTTCGCTATTGTCCTCCTTAGCCCTACTCGGAGCAATTTGACTGTACTTATCACTGTACTTTTTACCATATTCGGGCTACTAGGGCACTGCTTTTAACTGGGTTATAAGTACAGTTATAATTGGTTAATGAGTACCATGAACCTCCAAGTATAGCCCTAAACCCTAAACCCTAAACCCTAAACCCTAAACCCTAAACCCTAAACCCTATTGTTTAAGCTTGCCCCCCCCTCCCCCCTGCCCCTTCGCAATGAACGTGCAGTCGAGGCCCTGAGCTACTGGCCGCAGCAGGACACTGGGCTGCGCTTTTTGCCAATCCATGTAGTCTGGGGTTTAGGGTGCCTAAACCCTATAAACCCTAAACCCCAAACCCTAAACCCTAAACCCTATAAACCCGAAACCCTAAACCTTTAAACCCTAACCTCGAAGGACCGAAGGACTCCAACTCACACCTTTAAGCGGCCCTTTGCTTCCCTTTCGTTCCGCGAAGCACCTCTACCCAAAGGACCGGTTTAGGGTTTAGGGTTTAGGGTTTAGGGTTTAGGGTTTAGGGTTCTCCGTCCCCCAGGTTCTTAGTAGGGCATGAGGGACTCAGGGCCCTCTATTTCCAAAACTAGGGGGTTCCCTTCATATCCCCCAACATGGTATAATCCTTGGTATGGGTACCCCCACAAAGGGTACCCCTATCTTCGGAAACCCCCGTATAAGGGATGATCTAGGGTACCTCATTCCCTCATTCCCTAATCCGAGCTCCAGTTTAATTAAACCCCCCATATTTAAAGAATTCGCCGGAAGACTACTTTCCATTACGATGGATTTCGTATGGGCCAAACCCCCCACATTTAAAGATTTTTTTGTTTTTTTTTGGGGGGGGGGGTTGTCAAATTTTGAGACTCTGCCTTTCGGAAAGCTTTTTTCTTCTGCAGGGACGTATACTTTTGTTATTCAGTTTTAATAGAGATTCTATACAGTCCTATTGTTTTCAATACGTTCTTATTGTTTTTAAATAGAGAAACCATACGGGGCCATGGTCCAACTATTGCGGAACCCTGCCTTCCTTATTGTGGGGGGGGGCGGGGCCCCCCCAATTAAACAGGAGCTCGGATTACTAAGAACCAGCCAGGCGTAATCAACCTCATGCATCTGCGAAGCGAATCTTCCAGTTCTTCTAAACCCTAAACCCTAAACCCTAAACCCTAAACCCTAAACCCTCAACCCTCAACCCTCAACCCTCAACCCTCAACCCTCAAGAACAGAACCACCGAGGACATGCTTGTGGTCAGCAAGGCAGACTTGGGTGTGGTGGCCTGCCAGGCCCGCTCTGGCGTGCTGATATTTCTTTCTTTAACCATCCATTGGGTTTAGGGTTTAGGGTTTGGGGTTTGGGGTTTGGGGTTTAGGGTTTAGGGTTTAGGGTTAGGGTTTCAGGGTTTAGGGTGTAGGGTTTCGGGTTTAGGGTTTAGGGTTTAGGGTTGGGATGTTCCCGCTTATGCTGACAGTCCTTCATAGGGATTATAGTACCCCTTATGATAATCCCGATTAAGGACTGTTACAGTAGTATAAGGGGGAACATCCCAGCCCTAAACCCTCAGCCCTAAGCCCCGAAGCCCTAAGAGCTAAACCTTAAATTCCCTAAACCCTTCACTCCAGAGTAGTAGGGGGTTCAAACCTCAGAGTCTAGGTGGTAGAAGGTCTGGGGTGATTTCGGTGGCTGCCGTGCCCTAAAACCCTGAAGCCCCCAAACCCTAAACCCCGAAATCCCTGAACCCCACAGCCCTGAATCCTGTAGATTCCTAACCCTGAAACCTTAACCTCAAACCCTAAGCCCTAAGCCCGAAGCCCTAACCCTAAACCCGAAACCCCTAAACCCTGAGTTCCAGGCACATGACGAGGAGAGGCAGCTGCAGTCCACAGTGCAAGCAGACCCTTGGCGTGTTGGGTAGGCCCTTGGGATATCTTTATATGGGGTTTCCGAAATTATGGATTTAGGGTTTGGGGTTTGGGCTTTGGGCTTTGGGGTTTCCGAAAGTATGGATTTAGGGTTTGGGGTTTGGGGTTTGGGCTTTAGGGGTACCTTATCGGGGGTCCTTAGTATAAGGGGATCCTACTACGTGGGGTCTGGGGTCCCCTATATTCGTACACCCCCAGATGGCCTTTGGGATACTTCATATGTCCGCCTAGTGGGTTTAAGAGGATCTTGATAGTTGCGAATATTTTTAAGGGTCCAACATAGCTTGTATTTCTGTTTTGCCGCCGGGTGACTGAAAACCAAAGTTTTGATTGATGTGCAACCTGATTCATGACCCCTGTAGGGGGGGGGGGGGCTGAACCCAGCTCAACCACAAAATGTCCTTCCTTCGTACCGTGCTTAAGTTGGTGAGGTGGCTAGAAGACCAGGTCCTAAGCCTGCTTCCTACGTAGTCCCAAACTCGCAGCGAACTGTCAAACTCCCACAATCCTCATCATCCCTGCCCGGAGTCGAAGTCATAGACGGTCCTGCGCAGATTGGAAAAAGCTGTGTGCTGGGCCAGTAATTAGGGTTTATGGTTTAGGGTTTAGGGTTTAGGGTTTAGGGCCAGTAATCCTGGAGAGCGCTTTTGTCACGGTCTCAATTGGAGGTTGTTCTGAGTTGGGCCGCTTCTGGTTCTGCACATCAGAGCCTAGTCACTAGTCCTCAAATAGTAGGACTCTCTTTAATAAGGACCCCAATAAGGTACCCTAAAGTCGGAACCCCATTTGAACCGAAGCTCTAGCAAGTGTCTTGGAGGTCCTCTCGGGCCGAAACCCTGGTAATCCTTAAGCCCCGCAGCGTAGACTCTGAGCCTACCCCCCCCCCCCCCACACCGCAACCCTTGAACTGTACGACTACCCTAAGCCCTAAGCCCTAAACCCTAAGCCAACCTGTATCTGAGACTTGAAAGCAAAGGAGATGATGATCATGGAGAAGTTTGCGGCAGGGCGCTCCGGAAGCTATTGTAAGGAATAGGTGTTGCAAAACTTCGGGGCACGATGACCCAAAACCCTAAACCCTAACCCCTAAGTATCTGCTGAGGGTGGAGGAAGTTCGGGGGTCTAGAGGGTGTAGTCGGGTTTCAGTTTAGGGTGTCGGGTTGAGGGTTTATGATTTATGGTTTAGGGTTTAGGGCTCAGTGTTGTTTAGAGGTGCCTAGACAAGGTTATTTCAGGGCGAAACCTCGGGAGGGGGGGGGGGGGGGGGGGGGGAGGGGGAAGAAAGCCATGAGTGCTCCAAATCCCACTGGGAAGCCTTAACTGGGTAGCCCAGGGTACCCGTTTCCTCTGTTTTTTTGTTCAAGGTGCCCTTGTAAAGTAGCCAACTCAAAAAAAAGGTGGGTGCCCTTATAACAATATGGTTACTGGGCTGCCAAGTTAAAGCTACATAGGGTTAGGGGTTTTGGCTTATATCTAAGGGGTATACACGTGTTCCCCAAGCAAGGGCCCATGGTCAGTGACCATGTAACTCTACGCAAAACCCTAAACCCTAACCCCTAAAGAGTAAAGTTTGTTGCGGAACTGGCGGGTGGTAACCGAAACTATGTCCCCGAAACCGAAACAGAAACGACAGGAGGGTGCAACCGAAACCAACCTGGGACCGTTACGGAAACGACTCCGGGACGTAACAGAAACCAACTGCCCAAACAGAGAAATGAAAAGTGGAGAAAGGATTGGGGTACCCAGCCCTCATTGGGGTTCAGGATTGAGGGGTTTAGAGTCTAGGGTTTCGGGTTTCGAGTTTAGTTTTCCGCATTGAGGGTTGGGGTTCAGCATCTAGGGTTTCGGGTTTAGTTTTCCGTGGTTGCTGTTACATCTCTTTTTGGTTTCCGTCGAAGGTCTGTCTGGTTTGCGTTACACCTGCGTGTTGTTTCCAGGTTTTGGGGCGTAGTTTCCGTTACATTTTTGCTTGGTTTATGTTATGTTTTCGGGTTGGTTTCCATTACTAACACTACCGTTTCGTTTCCGTTACACCCCTTACCCACCCCTAAAACCTGAACCCTAAACCCTAAACCCTAAACCCTAAACCCATTGAGGGCCGAGCTCAACTCAAGGACGTCCGTCTCTGGCCTGCACGTAGATCCCATCGAGGAGGTGCTGCAGCTCGGCCCAATGCCTACGCCATGGATAGCTGCCCCTTACAGAGGGTTTAGGGTTTAGGGCTTAGGGTTTAGGGTTTAGGGACATATATACCCAGAACCACTAGCTATAAGAAGACAAAGCTCTATAAGTGAATCCTAAACACCCTAACCCCTAAACCCTAAGCCCTAAACCCTAAACCTCCATGAAGCCCAAGCCCCAAGCCCTTCAGCCCCAAACCCGAAACCTCGAACTGTAAATCCTGAACCCTTGACTCGACATAGCCCAAAACCCTGATCTAAAGTCTTCAGATCCCGGAAACTCTTGAAAGCAAAGCCAAAAGGTTTTTTGGAGTGTCAGGCTGTGGATTTCAGGGTTCAGGGCTTGAGGTTTTAAGGGTTCAGGGTTTAGGGTTTTGGGGCTTACGGGTGTAAGGATTTAGGGATTTGGGGTTTAGGGAGGAATGTTTCGGGAGTCTTCTGGTTGTCCAGGTAGGCATTTGCCTCCATGGCATTTCCTACATTACATCGGGCCGGATTGTTATCGTCCCAAAGTCTTACTATTGCACATGTTCTTACTATTGCACATTTAAAGGGCTTGCTTGGAAACCCTTCACTGTGGGTGCCCCCCAAAAACAGGCAATGCACCCAAAAGCCTCTAGCGCACACGACTTGTTGATAGGGGGCAGCGTGTTTAGGTTTCGGGTTTAGGGTTTCGGGAGCCAACTTGTGCCCCACCTGAGAGGTATGTGCTCTTCCATCGATCCGGGCGCCACGCCGAAATCCACGCAATCGACTTGCCGCTCGCCTCACCCTCTAGACCAGTTAGAGTCTAAGAAAAATTTAACATACCTCGGAGCCTCTAAAGGGAGAATATAAGGAAGGATTTTACCACTTAGTTTGCGACTGGACGCTGTGCGGACTGCAGACCCTAAATCTCGCCCGCAGTGGTGATTTTGACGAGGCTTCTTTAGGTTAAGCGTCTGAGGCTCCAAATGGGTAGTTCCCTAAACTACGGTGTCTTTCGCTGCAATGGAGCCGTTTAGCCCCATAACCCTCTCGATTTAGGGTTCAGGGCTTCGGGTAAAGTTTGACCAGTTTAGGTCGGCCTCAAGGCTGACCCAGAGTAGGCCCTTATTATTACCTTGTTGGGGTTTAGCTTCCCTTGCAAAGCCCCTTTGAACCAAAAAGAGCACCCTTTTTATTCCTAGCTTCCTCTTGGGTCTCGGAAGACCCTACAGCCCTCAAGCCTGAATCCTACAACCCTAAGCTCTAAATTTTATCCCTAAACCCTAATCCCTAAATTCCTATGTCCCTAAACCCTCAATCCCGAACTGCCTATTTCCCTAAACCCTAGCCCTAAACCCTAAACCCTAAACCCTAAACCCTAAACCCTAAACCCTAAACCCTAAACCCTAAGAGACCCTATAACCCTAAAAAGAAGTAAAGTTGAGGCGGGATGAGCTCGGCCGCTTGCTGCGCATCCTCCGTCTCCCAGACGTGGATGCAGCTGATGGCCGGGCTGGGGAGAGCATGTTTAGGGTTTAGGGTTTAGGGCTTAGGGTTTAGGGTTTAGGGTTTAGGGTTTAGGGTTTAGGGTTTAGGGTTTAGGGTTTAGGGTTTAGGGTTTAGGGCTAGGGCTTAGGGCTTAGGGCTCAGGGCTCAGGGCTTGGGGCTTCGGCGGCTTAGGGCTTAGGATTTATTTAGGTTTAGCAATGAGGGTGCATGGTATAGTCAAGTTAACTACGGACAACAACATGCTACCAAAACCCCGCATGAACCTTACATATATGTGCATAGATGTAGGTAGAAAACCCTGCGAACAGCAAATCCCACAAGAAGGGCACCCTAGACTAAATGTGACTAAAGCCTGGAAGCCCTGATGCCTTCAAGCTGCATCTGCGACGCTTTGCGGGGGCATCGTTTACTTGTCCTTACACGCTCGCATCATATCAGTGAACCCATGCTTCTCTGGTTCATCATTCTGATGTGTCGGGGAGTCATCCTGCTGCCAGCTTCAGTTAGAGTGCTTTGGAGCCTAAACCCTAAACCCTAAACCTTATAAACCATAAACCCTAAACCCTAAACCCTACAGGTCCGGATGCAGACCATGATGTGGTGTCGGATTCTCAGAGCCAGGCCGCAGAGTCACCGTAGGGTTTAGGATCTAGGGTTTAGGGTTTAGGGTTTAGGTTTCGGGTCTAGGGTTCATCTCGAGGGGATGTGGAATCGATTTTGAATTCTCGGGTCCTAAAAAAGCGCACACAGCATTAAGCAGAATCCCTGAAATCTGACAACCCTTAAATTTCAGCCCTAAACGCCCTGCACATAGACCCTGAGCCTGAACCCTGAACCCTAAACCCTAAACCTTAAACCCTAAACCCTATAAACCCTAAACCCGAAAAACCCTAAACCCTAAACCCTAACACCCCCCCCCCCCCCCCCCATGTGGCGTATTGAGGTGGGGCGCTTTGTCCACGTACCACCCAATGGAGGTCCACGACAGGCACCGTTGCAGTCTTTGGGTTTAGGGTTTAGGGTTTAGGGTTTAGGGTTTTGGGTTTTGGGTTTAGGGTTTAGGGTTTGGGGTTTAGGGTTTAGGGTTTAGGGTTTAGGGTCTGGGATTTAGGGTTTAGGGGTTAGGGTCTCGGGTTTAGGTTTTCGCGTTTCGGGTGCCTTAGCTGCACGAATCACTGACGTGTTGAAGTACATCCTCAGTGCCTTTGCATGTAAAGTCGCCCACGTTGTCGTCTTCGGGTTGAAGCGAGCCTCAACATAAGAGTCCTTCCAGCTTCACCCAGCTCCAAAGTCGGCATTGTTAATAGGTTTTTATTTACACGACGAAGTATGCTGTTTTCTTACACCTGCGGCCGCACTGGCGAGATGTCTAACCTAAACCCTATAAACCCTAAACCCCTAACCCTAAAGCCCAAACCCTCAACCCCTTTTCAGGGCCCTTTTCCCTTGTATTGGGTTGAAGAGCATGGCAATTAATTCCAGGAGGGGGCTCAGGGTCAACCTGAGGCATAGGATTTATCGGTACAGGGTTTATAGGATTTACAGGGTTGGGTTTACAGGGCTTATAGGGTTTCAACAGGGTTTATATGGTTTATAGGATTCACAGGGTTTCTAAGGTTTAGGATTTAGGGTGTAGGGTCTAGGGGTCTCAACCCATCAGCCCCGCAGTGACTCAACCTCCAAAGGCGTCGACTCCTGGAAGGCCCCAAAGCCCCCGATTTTCAAGGTTTAGGGTTTAGGGTTTAGGGTTTAGGGTTTCTTTGTGAGGTGTGCAGGACAGGAGGCCCTTGCGATGTTTTATGATTCCCATGTTTAAGTTGGGTTTAAGAGGATCATAGGGTTTCGGGGCTATAGGGTATGATCGGGCTTCGGGGTCTTGCAGAAGCTTCGGGCGCTAGCTGCTCTGAATGCTGCAAACGAAACCCTAAACCTAGACCCTAAGCCCCATCCCTAACCCCAAACGCTAAATGGCCCAAAGCAAACCCTCGGCCCTAGGTCCTACAACCACTCCGCGGAACCCTGCATCCTAAGCCCTAAACCCTAACTAAACTTTAAACCCTGCACCCTGAACCCTAAACCCTAAACCGTACCTAAACCCTCCACCCTGGCTGTTTGCAGAGTTGGTGTCTCCTCTGGGACGAGGCCTCAACTTCTTGCGGTGACAAGGACACCGGCGAAGGCCCCGACTGAAACTTCCAGGTTTGGGTTTAGGGTTTTAGGGGTTTAGGGTTTAGGGGTTTAGGGATTTAGGGTTTTGGGTTTTGGGTTTTGGGGTTAGGGTTCATGGTTCAGGCTTTCTAGGGGTTTTAGGGGTTTAGGGTTTAGGGCAATTAGGGGTTTTCGGGTTTAGGGTTTAGGGCAATTATAGGGTTTAGGGCATTTAGGGTTTTTGTTGGGGGGTTTAGGGTTTAGGACATATAGGAGTTTTAGGGGGGTGGCGCATATGGGGGTTTAAGGGGTTCCGAGGTGACCCTTGGGTCACCCTAAACCCTTAACCCTATTCCTGGGGGCTCGGAGGGTTCAGGCTTTAGGCTTTAGGGTTTATAATATAATAAGGTTTACGGTTTAGGGTTTAGGGTTTAGGGTTTAGGGTTTAGGGCCCAGAAAACACCTGGCACCAGGTGTTCAGCTTCGACTTGCCCAACTTGCGCCAGTGCGGCTCAGAAAGTCTCTGCAAGTCGGCCGCCAACGCCTCCCGGGCTGTGGCAGAGCTGAAAGCCAGCATCTGGAGGTGATTTCCCTACAGAGGGGCTTGTAGCCCTAAACCCTGAACCCTAAACCCTGAACCCTAAACCCCAAATCCCAAACCCTAAAGCCTAAAGGAGGGTTTTTGGGTTCTCAGCTTCCCACGGCGGCATGTTCTGCTGACCCCGCTAGGGGTCAGGTAGAGGTCCAGAGCCCTAAACTCGAATCCGCAAGAATGTTGTTATCTGGAATGCAGGGCCTCGAGAGCATTATATACATATATATATATATGTATATACATGTGACTTGATCATGTATAATTCTGTCTGCTTATTTACGATTACCAACAGTCTCACTACTATATTCTGGGCGTTATTGCGAAGGATGCTACATTTGATAAGTATCTTCATTGAGGGTCCCCTCACTCTTCCTCTACCCTCGAACTCAGAAGAATAATGACGACTCGCCATTCTGCCCAGAGAGCCGGGGCCCCTAAGCCTAACTGGGTTTAGGGTTTATAGGGTTTAGCGTTTAGGGCTTAGGGTTTAGGGTTTAGGGTTCAGGGTTTTTTGGGGTACTATACTTCAATACTTTGTTTGGTTCTGGGTTCCATTTTTAGCTACTTATACAGAAAAAGCCTAGTTTGTTCCCAGAGGCTACGCCAAAATAGGGCTAATCCCTAAACCACCCTGAGCGACACCTCTGGGGGGGGGGGGGGGGGGGGCGGCGCATCTCTCGCACATTGTCCTCATCCCGCTCCAAGGTTTAGGGTTTAGGGTTTAGGGTTTAGGGTTTAGGGTTTAGGGTTTAGGGTTTAGGGTTTAGGGTTTAGGGTTCAGGGCGTCGCATCGGCTTCAGGGCTTGGGTTTAGGGTTTAGGCTTCAAGGTTTGGACGCTTTGCATGGCAGATCCGTGCAGCCGACGGCGTAGATGCCCTGACAACCCTAAGCCCTTATACCCAGCTGAGCATGCCCACAGGCTTCCATCCTTGCATGCCATTTGGCAACAACCCTATACCCCGATTTCCATTGCCCCATCTAGTAACATGTGTACTTGACGGGTATATACCAATCATCGTTAAGATACGTGTGCTGTTTCCCCCTTATGCTGACAGTCCTGAATAGGGGTGATAGTACCCCCTATCATAATCCCTATTGCCTATTGAGGACTCTTAGGATAAGGGGGAACATCCCAAGGCTAAAGGTATAAATCGTAGAGCTTAGCCGGTGAAGCGGCTCCATGTTTGCGAACCTGGCATACGTGCAGCCTCTTTTTGTAACCCTAAACCCTATAGACCCTGAAACCTAAACGGCAGCCTCTTGTTGTCTTGAGGGGGCTTAGGCGGGGGTGGGAGTGCGAGAGTTGCGTGTTTGCAGCACGGCCTTTTGCACCCAGCAGGGGCGTCCGAATGGGATGCTCCTTGTGCACATGTGGGAGTTTCCAGACGTTCGGGTGCCCCCTTCATACCCCAAAACCCTGAACCCGAAACCCTTAACCTAGATGTAGTAGATTCTCCGACAGAGGACACCGAAAAAGGGACCGCTTTGAACTTCGGAGACCTCCCATTTCGCGGGTCGGAGCTCATGTAAGCACAGAGGCCGAAAGACCCGCCAGCTTTTCGTGTCTAGGATTTAGGGTTTAGGGTTGAGGTTTAGGGTTTCGGGTTAGGGGCAACCCTAAACCCGAAGCAACAGCATATTCTCAGCAGTTCCCAAATCCCTCAACCCCCCAAACACCAGTCCCCGCGTCGGAGCCAATGCCTCTGGGATCCCCTAAACCCTAAACCCTAGACCCTAAACCCTAAACCCTAAATGCAGGTATACGGTTCAGGGTTCAGGGGCAATCTAGGGAGCATTCTCTCGTCTGTTGTCTTCTTGATTTTGGGGGGTTCTTCAGCAAAGAGTAGTCCAAACCCTAAACCCTAAACCCTAAACCCTAAACCCCAAACCCTAAACCCTAAACCCTAAACCAACTGCGAGAACTCTAAAGCCGTCAGGAAGAAGCTCATCATCACTGAACCTTCGGTAACCCATAATCCCAGACCCTAAGCCTGCAGCCATACGCCCGTAGGGTTTAGGGTTTAGGGTTTAGGGTTTAGGGTTTAGGGTTTAGGGTTTAGGGTTTAGGGTTTAGGGTTTAGGGTTTAGGGTTTAGGGCAGTCCATGCGGCCTTGAAAGAGGTGTGCACCAGCGCAGCCAAAGATCTGCTGCCATTTTGAACCACAGGGGGCCTACTCTAAAGCCCTGAAGTACTAGACCCATAAGGGTTTAGGGTTTAGGGTTTAGGGTTTAGGGTTCAATCAAACCCTCAACTCCTACAAAAAGCAAAGACCTCTAAAACCCGAACCCATTGAACCCCTTTTATTTCAAGGTTGAGGCCGAGAACCTAAGACTTGAACGCCTGAAAACCTACGCCCCTCGACCTCCCTGCGCATACACCCAAGGCGCGCATAGGCAGCAAAATCCCCCCTTAGGATGATCTCCTTTTAGAGGGTTTAGGGTTTAGGGTGTCATCTGGGGCGTTCCGAGGAACAGGGTTTCTGGTCTTGCAGTGCCTCTGGGAGGTTTTAGGAAATTTTGTGGGACCAGAAGCGATACCCCGACCCCGACTTTAGGAAATACTGGTAAGACCAACCCGGACCAAGCCTGGGTCGGCCGGTTGGGGTTTTGGGGCACTTCTGATGAGAGGATCTGGGTTTGGCTCCACGGGGTTTAGGGTTCAGGGTTCAGGGTTTCGGGTTTAGGGTTTAGGGTTTAGGGTTTGGGTTTAGGGTTTAGGGTTTAGGGTTTAGGGTTTAGGGTTTAGGGTTTAGGGTTTAGGGTTTAGGGTTTAGGGTTTAGGGTTTAGGGTTTAGGGTTTCCATATACGTGAAGTTCGGGTTCACACCATGAAGGGCTTTGTGAAAGCAAAAGGGGCCGAGAGGCTCCCGGAAGGAATCTGGCTCGCGAAGTGTCGCGAAGACCATCAGGCAACGGCAAGCGGGGCACAAAGCTGCCTTGTTTTGCGCCAGTTGAAGAGACCCCACGCCCCTCACAAGTTTAAGCTTCGGAAAAAGCTGGAAACCCTGAAACCCTAAACCCTAAACCATAAACCCTAAACCCTAAACCCTAAACCCACGTGTAGAGCTTCAGGGCCGGGAAGGGGGGTTCGGTACAACCTCTGTGTACGAACGATGCTCCTGATCTGAACCTTTTCAAGGTTCAAGGTGTAAGGTTGATGCTTCCCTCAAGCCCTAAATCCCAATTCTGAGATTGCCGGACTGCCGGAGAAGCTGAGGTCATAGAAGGGTTTAGGGATTAGGGTTTAGGGTTACAGAGTTGTGCAGACTGAGCTCGTATGCCTAACCATACCCCGAAAGGCCCAAAACCCCAAAACCCCAAAACCCCAAAACCCCAAAACCCCAAAACCCCAAAACCCCAAAACCCCAAAACCCCAAGCGACCACCTGATATAGGCGACCTGAAGAACGCCTGGCCGAGGTTGCAAGAATTCACAGCACCTCTCACACACACACGCCCTTTCCCACCTAGGTCCTGCTTAGGTTAGGGTTTTAAGGGGTTTAGGGTTTCTAGGGTTTGGGGTTTAGGGTTTAGGGTTTAGGGTTCAGTTTTAAGAACCCTAAACCCTCTTGGCTGCGCAGGAGGAGTTGCAGCTCCTGTGCTCCAAGGAGGGTAAGGAGACTTACCAGGCACACTGCATGGGGCGTGAGGTTTGGGGTTTGGGGTTTAGGGTTTAGGGTTTAGTGTTTAGGGTGTTTAGGGTTTAGGGTTTTCGGGTTTAGGGTTTGGGTTTGGGGTTTGGGGGTCCCAGGGTTGTGACTTCAGCGCGCATGAGGCCCTTGAGCCCAAATGAGAAGGGGTGGCAGGCCTTGGGCATCGTACTGATGGTTTAGGGGTTTGAGTTGCAGGGTTTAGGGTTTAGGGTTTAGGGTTTAGGGTTTAGGGTTTAGGGTTTAGGGTTTAGGGTTTAGGGGTAGGCGTCGCTCTCCAAATCCCGGGTGCTCTTCAAATCCATCTTTGCCGCTGTGCCGCTGCTGTCATCAATGCGTCGTTTAGGGTTTAGGGCTTAGGGTTCAGGACTCCTAAGCCCCAAGCCCTAAACCCTGGCCCTAAACCCTAAACCCTAAACCCTAAACCCTAAACCCTAAACCCTAAACCCTAAACCCTAAACCCTAACCCTAAACCCTAAACCCTAAACCCTAAACCCAACACCTAGGAGCCCCAAACAGAGGAGGGAGGGGCTTTCTGAAAGCAGCACCGAAATCTCGGAAGGCATTCACCAACGAGAGCCTGATGCTCAGTCGGGGGATCCGCCGAGGAGAATGGGGTAGGGTTTTAGGGTTTAGGGTTTAGGGTTTAGGGTTTAATGATTGTAGGTATTGTAGGTGTTGGGTTTTAAGTTTAGGGTTTGGGGTTAAACCCCTACCTGCAGAGCCCCAAAGCCAACTATTTTGCAGGCTGCACAGGAATCCTAGAAGGTGCTACTAATATCCTGAAATAACGTGGGTGTTGGGGTCTCTTAACTTGCGTCACCTGAAGACGGCCGCCTTTGTATGTAGATCATACATCCTCTTGAGGCTATCTATAGCGTTCCTGTGAGGAATGGCAGCATGCTCAGCACACTGTGCCAAACAAAAACGGTACGACACGGGAGATTCTAGAGTAAACCCCCTAAAAGCCTAACCCTGAATACCCAACATTTCTCAAATAACCTCAACCAGAAACGGTCTGACGGCACCCCTTCCGCCAACCGTTTCTTTCAGCCCCCTTCAAAAGTGTGCGGAAATCTCGTCACAGGGCATTCAGGGTAGAGCTACATATAGGGTATCGAGGATTTTCGGGGCTCCCGTCTAAGTCTTAGGTAGGTTGTTTTAGGGTTTAGGGTTTAGGGTTTAGGGTTTAGGGGTGTAGGGTTGAGTGTCTAGGGTTGCAGGGTTCAGGGGTGTAAGGCTCAGGTTTGTCAGGGTTTTGGGTTAGTTTAAGGGTTTAAGGGTCTAGGGGGTTCAGGGCAAGTTTTTTCTTTGAGACATACCGCGCGGGCCTTTACGAGGGGGGTTTTAGGAATACATCTTCAGAGGCATTGAAGGGTCAACCTGGAATAAGGGTTTGGGGGCTTAAGGTTTAGGGTTCAGGGTTTAGGGTTTAGGGTTTAGGGTTGGGAAGCTACCCCTGGAAGCCCTTCGCTTTCTTCCCCGCCCCTAGCACTGAAGCCAACAAGGCTACACCTATGCTGAGCTTCTCCAGAAGTTCCCCAGCTGCCAGGCACTTTGGGGTGTAGGGTTTAGGGCTAGGGTTTAGGGTTTAGGGTTTCGGGTTTAGGGTTTAGGGTTTATAGGGTTTAGGGTTTAGGGTTTAGGGTTTAGGGTTTGGGGTGTAGGGTTTAGGGAGGGCCGGGTTTAGGGTGTAGGGTTTGGGGCTTGGGGTTTGGGTGCAGGCTTCTGGGGGTTTTGGGGGAGCCATTCAAGGCTTGGTGGCCCGGTGTTAGGGTCTAGGGTTGAGGGCTTAGGGCGGAGGGCGGTTTAGGGCTTAGGGCTTAGGGGGCTTGAGGATGCTTCAGGGTTTGCGAGCTTGGGTTTCGTGTCTTAGGGCTTTAGGGGTTTTGGGCCCTTCGCGTTCGACTTGGGGCGGCGATTACCTGCTGGGGTGCCATGTAGTGAACATACTATTGAGACTCTAAACCCTAAGCCCTATAACCCTAGTCCCCGAATCCCCAAAACCCTGAACCCGAAACCCTAAACCCTAAACCCTAAACCCCAAACCCAGAAACGCGGGTATCCCCTGTCACCCTTGTCGTTTCGGGAGGTCAGCATTGGCAACTTGCTCGACTACGTGCCAGACATCAAGCCTCGCTTGCGGCATGGCTGACCGTTGGTTGGGGTTTAGGGTTTAGGGTTTAGGGTTTAGGGTTTAGGGTTTAGGGTTTAGGGTTTAGGGTTTAGGGTTATGGGTGGGTTTAGGGTTTAGGGTTCAGGGTTTACGGTTATGGGTTATTGAAAGTATTGAGGGTTCAGGCCCGGGGGAAGTTTCGAGGAGTTTCATATTTTAGCTTCTGAAAAGTTTCACACTTCGGGGGCTTGAGGTTTTAGGTAAGACTCAGGCCTTGATGATGCCCCCCAAGAGCCCGCATAACCCTGAACCCCCTAAACAGCCTAAACCCTAAACCCATAAACCTCCCAAACCTTAAATCCTAGACCCTAAACCCTAAACCCTAAACCCTAAACCCTAAACCCTAAACCCTAAACCCTAAACCCTAAATCCTGACATCCCCATAGCCTGCTTCTGGTCTCGGGAGACCCACCCTGGGAGCGGCGCGGGGAGGGAGAGGGAAGCAAGAGAGAGTGGCAAAGAGCAAAAGCAACTAGGTAGGCCCTTGGGACATTTTATATTTTCCCTTATTTGGGTTTAAGAGCATCATATTCAGGAATATTTGTTCAGAGGGTTTTAGGGGCCATCCTAGGCAACTTAATTCCCTAATATATGGGGGGTACACAGAACCCTAAACCCTAAACCCTAGACCCTAGACCCTAAACCCTAAACCCTAAACCCTAAACCCTAAATGGAAATGGATATGGAAATGGAATGCCACAGCAGGATACATGGCGGAGGCAGCGCTGCGCCTTTTTTGTCTCAGGGTCCTCAGCAACCAGGTCTTACCTGGGTTTTGGAGTACTGTACTTTAATACTTTTTTTGGTTCTGGGTTCCTATTATAGCTACTTATACCTAAAAAGTATATACTTTTTTTCCAGGGTCTACTCCAAAGGTAGGTTACGGTGTTTCGGGTTTGGCGGCCCAAGGACCATGCCATGCAAAGCTTCTGGGGGAGAGAGATGTTCAGCCTCGGGGGGGTTTAAGCCTCAAACGCCAAACCCTAAAACCCTAAAACACGAAAACACTGAAGCCCTAAAACCCTAAAACGCTAAACCCCTAAGCCCTAAACCCTAAACCCTAAAACCCTAAAACCCTAAAACCCTAAACCCTAAACCTACAGGTACTCCATCGCCTCCTCTTCCCGCCGCCTGGGGTTGCAGCAAGTGGTGGGCCTTCGGTTTTTCTGACGGCCGCCGCATGCGGTTTAGGGTGTCCCCTAAACCTTTCTTTTTTAGGGTTTGGGGATTAGGGTTTAGGGTTTAGGGGTTTAGGGTTGGGGCTCTACTACTATTTGATTAAGAACCCCAGCAAAATACAGGAGAACAATTCCGATGTTTCCCGTATAAGGAAGTTTTTTTTTTCAAGGGGGGGGGGGGGGGGTATATATCAGTAGTGAGACCGTCTGATTCTCATATTAAGGCCCTGGCATTACCCAATTAAGCCACCATGCAACCGTTTTTGGGGCTTTATTAGGGCCTTTACCTTGACCCCTCCTCCCTCAACCCTCGAGATTCTCCCCACACCCGAAGCCCTAAACCCTAAACCCTAAACCCTAAACCCTAAACCCTAAACCCAAGTGGTAACGAGTTCTCTAAATTTCGGTTCCCTTGGGGGGGGGGGGGTTCTGTATGTTGCCAGGGTGCCCTACTCTTTCGGAGGGACCCGAAAATTGGGACCCTAAGTTATAGAACCACTCAAAATCCTAGACTCACCACGTGAGCCAAAAATCATGGGCTTCCACTCCTTAAATAACCTTAGTTAGGCTCAATGATCCCCATTATGGGGGGGAAACCTATGGGCCGGGGGGGCAGTATAGAGGGCTAAACCCTACATCCTGAACCCTAAACCCTAAACCCTAAACCCTAAACCCCAAACCCCAAACTCCAAACCCCAAACCCTAAACCCAAATCTAAGGCCTTCGGGGAGACAATGAGTGCCACCTGTGCATCATCAAGAACGAGTGGACGGCCACTAGCGGCAGGCTACGCGAGCTGCTTCTCTCGGGGCGTATCGGGGTGAGGGTTTAAGGTTTAGGGGTTTAGGGTTTAGGGTTTAGGGTTACGCGGACCATGAAGAGTTGTTGCCGTAGCCCCAAGGAAAGGGGAACACAGGCCAAGGCTGTGCGTAGTGCAGTTTGAGATATATGCTCTAGGGCGTACTTGGAGGTTCATGGGACGGTATAACCACTTATAACTGGGCTTAGAACCCTACTTGGAAATTGGGATAACCCCTACAAGGCCCTTTAGGGGTATTATAAGTAGGGTTATATGTACAGTTATAAGTGCTTAGTAAGTCCCATGAACCTTCAAGTAGGCCTCAGGGTATGGCTTCGCAGTTGGGAATGGAGTTCCGGGATCATCCCCAAACTCGGAATCATCCCCACCACCTTACTAAATCTTAAGCCAGGTTTTAGGGTTTAGGGTTTAGGGTTTAGGGTTTGGGGTTTAGGGTTTAGGGTTCAGGGGGTTGCCTGAAACATCTATAAGCCCTCCAAGTTCCACAAGCAGTGGCACCCCCTAAGTAGCATGCTACTAGCAAGCCGGCGAGTGCCACATCCATCCACCAGGGGAGCGGGGTTCTGGTTTAGGGTTTAGGCTTTAGGCTTTCGGCTTTAGGGTTTAGGGTTTAGGGTGTTGATTTTGGTGGCTGCGCTCTTCCTGTGTGCTCCTGAGCTGAAGGGTACCTGGTGTACATACAGCAAAGCAAAACACTCAAGGCGAAGATGTGGCAAAGCCCACCGCAGCATGGAGTCTGCGGAGAAGAGCCGAAGGGATTGAAGGACTACGAAGACATGCTCTTCCTCCAAGGAGCCTCTCATGACCACCTTAAGGAGCTCATGCTCTGGGAGGAACAGGTGAGGGGGCGAGGGCCGCAGGCGGACGTCCTGGGCGGGCAGCGTGAGCAGGTCCTCCATGGCATGATGAACCTGGCGGCCCGGAGCCAGATGAACCAGGATGGCTGGTCCTGCGCCGTGTCTTTGCTCGACTCCTACTTGGCTTCCTTGGGCGCGGAGGACGTCACGAAGGGCACCCAGATGCTTCCACTAACCTGCGTCGCAGTGCTCCGATTGGTCAAGAAGTTCCATGGGAATGTGGCGGAGCCGAAAGGTTCCTTCAACATGTGGCTCAGCATGGCCAAGCAGGTGCTGCCGATCCAAGGCAAGTGGATGGAGTTTTCGGAGACGATGCTCCGACACTCAGTAGCTGAGCGAGTACACTTTACACTTTTTGGGATACCATAATCCCCCCCTAAACCCTACACCCTACACCCTAAACCCTAAACCCTAAACCCTAAACCCTAAACCCTAAACCCTAAACCCTAAACCCTAAACCCTAAACCCACCTTTTAGGGGGGGGCTTATATGAACTCAGCAGCTAAGGGCAGCATGAGGTCGACATCCTGCAGTCTGTGCAATGGCAGGTCCAGGAGCCGCCGCTTGGTCATAGTTGGGTTTAGGGTTTAGGGTGTAGGGTTTAGGGTTTAGGGTTTAGGGTTTCATCAATGTTTAAGGGTACTTGAACTCAATAAGGATGGGGTAACATGTTACCTATTTTCTAAGGGTACTTGAACTCAAAAATGAGTAGAAATCGTGGGGTAACATTTTGCATTTTTCAAGGGTACTTAAACTCAACAAGGAGTAGAAGCTTAGATTTCTATTCCTATCCCAACCATGAAGGGTACTTAAACTCAACAGGAGTAGAAGCTTATCATGTCTTAATACGACTCTCCCACAACATGAGCTAGGCTGCAGCAGCAGTTCCTAAACATCTACTGCACGCGCTTGGGGGCCATGACTTCGCAGCAGTATGAGCCCCAAATCGCCTGGGTCAAGCAGAAGTCCATGTTCTTCGCCCGCCTGCTGCTCTTCGTGGAGTCGGCTTCCGAGAACTCGCCTCAGGAGTCTTACTTCGCTCATAGTTGAACTTTAAACTTTATGAGGGTTTCCTCCTTATTTAGTAGGAATATTAAAGTTTAACCTCCTTATTTAGTAGGAATATTAAAGTTTAAGCTTTTTGTCCCCTTGGTTGTTGGAGAAGTAAGGAGTTCGCCCTTGGCATGTTCTGTCTTCACCTGGCGCGGGGGCAGTTGCTCTCACTGCACTCCCTTCGCCCGGACGAGGTGGGTGTTTCCCTAAACCCTAAACCCTAAACCCTAAACCCTAAACCCTAAACCCTAAACCCTAAACCCTAAACCCTAAACCCTAAACCCTTCGCCCGGACGAGGTCCCGGTCGCCTACTGGACCTCCGCATTGCAACAGCTCTCCCTGCCTTGCAATGTCGAAGCATCTTCCTTCCAGGACCGGTAATTTATGCCCTACAACCCGTTAGACAGGCTCTTTATGGGGTTGAATATCCTAAACCCTAAACCCTAAACCCTAAACCCTAAAATGGCCTGTCCTGGTTCCCGCTCGTTGAGGCACTGCCGCTCGTTGAGGCGGCGACGGCGGCCAGCAGGCGCGAACTAAAAGAGGCCACCCGCCGGGGTGTTGAGACTTGGTAGCCCATTGGTACCCTCTTTGTTTTTGGTTCAGGGTTTAGGGTTTAGGGTTTAGGGTTTAGGGTTTAGGGTTTAGGGTTTAGGGTTTAGGGTTTAGGGTTTAGGGTTTAGGGTTTAGGGTTTAGGGTTTAGGGTTTAGGGTTTATGAAGTAACCAACCCCAAAAAGGGTGCCTTGATTAACATATGATTTCTGGGCTACCCAGGAGAGATTGCTGGAACTGCGTGTCAAGCACCCAGCGATGCGTGCAGCGTTGAACTCCGAGTAGACTTACTAGACCGTGCCCATCCGTAACCCTAAACCCTAAAAACCCTAAAAACCCTATAACCCCTATAAACCCTATAAACCCTATAAACCCTATAAACCCTAAACCTCTACCCTATAAACCCTAAACCCTAGGACTGTTTCGCAAAGGAGCCCCGCAATGTTGCGTTGGGTTCGGCCTTCGGCCCTTCCACCCGCACTTATAACCCAGACAGACCCTTGGGAGGATCCAGAAGCAGAACCACCCCCCCCCCCCCCCCCACAAAATGGTGCCCTCTAAAAAGGATACGTGTTTTTTGGGATCCTCCCAGGGGTTTGGGTAAAGAGTTTCTGATCACCCTGCGCAGCGCCGTTCTCGCAGGTAGGGAGCCTCAGGGCTCAGGAGTATGAACATGCCCTAAATGGCAGGGCAGGGCGAGGAACTCTAGCCCTAAACCCTAAACCCCAAACCCTAAGCCCTAACCCCTAAACCCTAAACCCTAAACCCTGACTGCCATAGGGCGCCGACGGCCTTGCGCCTTGTTCCATTGTTGTGTGGCCGGGGTTCGGCTGCAGCGAAGGGATCTGGAGCAACCAGGTGAACGCCCCTGGCAGTCGTAGTTTAACTGATTAGGGTTTAGGGTTTAGGGTTTAGGGTTTAGGGTTTAGGGTCACATACAAAATCCCTTTTCATCTGATCCACGGTGTTTTTAGTCTACTGTTTGAATAAACGGGCTCCTGCTGCTGCTGCCCTACGCAGATCTCCAACCCCGGCTGCCGTCGGCTATGCTGCATGCTGTTGTCTTTCAGAATAAGAAGTTGTAGTAGTAGTAGTAGTAGTAGTAGTAGTAGTAGTAGTAGTAGTAGTAGTAGTAGTCGTCGTGGTGGTGGTGTTGGTAGTGGTAGTGGTAGTGGTAGTGGTAGTGGTAGTGGTAGTGGTAGTGGTAGTGGTAGTCGTCGTGGTGGTGGTGGTGGTGGTAGTAGCCCTAAACCCTAACCCTAAACCCGAAACCTAAACCCAGAAGAAGCACTACTCATCGAAGACGAGAGCAGAACCACGATGAACTAGGAGTAGCAGCTGGTGCCGTGTTAGCCTGTTTTTTTCATCGACTTATAATTCGTATGTTGGGATGTTCCCCCTTCTACTAACCTTCCTTAATCGGGACAATAGTACCCCCCATTCTTATCCCGAGAAAGGACTGTTGGTATAATCCTTAATCGGGATCATAGTGCGCCCTGTTACAAACCCTAAACCCTAAACCCTAAACCCTAAACCCCTGTTTAAGGACTGCTTGTAAGGGGGAACATCCCCATGCACGCTGTTGACGCTTCACGCTCTCACGTTCGGGAGGAGCTCAATACCTTCTTTCATCTCAAGGGGGATCAAGGGTGATCCGATTTCATTTGGGGTATAAACGTGTCCCTTTTTCAGTTTAGGAAATGCCCCAATGTGTGTAAAGAAAATGCCCTTAAAAAGGGGTATTGGGCTTCTGGGCCTGTCAGTCGAATGCAGGCCGCATTTCCCCGAATTGTGCTAATAAGGCAGTATCTCAGATGTCTGCCTGCAAAAGAGTCGTTTGATGCGACGAGTGCCCCTCCCTAACATCCCCGCCTTCGCTACGCCCATCCTAAACCCGAAGCCCTATACACCTAAACAGCCCCTGAATGCCCTAAAGCCTACAGCAAACTCCAGAAAGTTGGAACATGGTTTAAGGATGAGTAGACCAGGGATTCCCTTTTGTAGACCTTTTGGGGATAAGGATGTCCTAAACCCTGACCCTATATAAACCCTAAACCCTAAACCCCTACTGTAACTAGACCCTAAACCCTAAAACCCTAAAACCCTAAAACCCTAAAACCCCGAAACCTAAAACCCTAAAACCCCAAAACCCCGAAACCTAAAACCCTAAAACCCTAAAACCCTAAAACCCCGAAACCTAAAACCCTAAAACCCCAAAACCCCGAAACCTAACCTCCCCACGCAGAAGCCGAGACCCTAAACCCTAAACCCTAGAGGCAGCTCACCGGTCTGTCCACGCGCTGGCTCAGCGAAGACATGCATCCGGACAAGGCGCCCCCCTTCCACGAAACAAGGGCTTAGGGCTTAGGGTTTAGGGTGTGGGGTTTGGGGTTTAGGGTTTAGGGATTAGGGTTTAGGGAGGTTTAGGGTTTAGGGTTTAGGGTTTCGGGTTTAGGGTTTAGGGTTTAAAACTTGGTACTCGCATGTTCCACAACTTGGCATGTTCCACCTTGCACTCCCATTATCATCCCTATTGAGGACTCTTGGTACAAGGGGGAACATCCCAAGTTTAGGGTTTGGGGAGTTTGGGGAGTTTGGGGAGTTTAGGGAGTGGAGGGAGTTCAGGGAGTTTTGGGTTTCGGGGACAGGAAGTCTAGGGTCTAGGGCTTAGGGAGTTTATGGTCTGCTAGGATGCAGTTTAGGGTTTAGGGTTTCGGGTTTCGGGTTTCGGGAACATCCTCGTCGTAAGACCCTTAGCCCGAAACCTTGAACCCCAACGCTGTTCAGGGTTTGGGTGGGCTGCAGAGTTTAGGGCCTAGTTTAGGGTTTATGGGCTAAGGGCCCTAAACCCTAAACCCTAAACCCTAAACCCTAAACCCTGAACCCTGAACCCTGAACCCTGAATCCTAAACTCCTCTCCTTCCCTCAGACTCCCCCCAACCAGGAGCCTCTCTCGGTCCGTGCCTGCGTGCACCCCTCCGCAGCGCCTTGGAATGCTTTTTGCGTAGGGGGTGTAGGGTTTAGGGTTTAGGGTTTCGGGTCCCCGAGTAGGGTTTTCGGGCATAGAGCTCCCTGATAAATCTAGGGCTGAGGGGGATGGAATTAGGACTCCGAAGATCCTCTTCTCGCTCCCGGGTTTAGGCTCCCTTATGCGGCCTCTTCAACCACAAGGTTACCCAGCAATCGAGGGTTTTGTGTTTTCAGGTTGCTTTGAGGGGAGCCTAAAAACCCTAGGGTCTGTACACCCTGAGCCCTAAAAGTCTGAGGGTAGTTTCATGGGCCCTTAATACGGTCCCGTACCTCCTTTAAAGAATTCTGACGTATGGGCCCTTAATTTGCATAGGGTATGTAAGGGGTATATAAGGGGTACGCTTTTCAGGGCCCCTTAGAAAATAGTTCCTTGATGTTTCGGTCAGCCCTGTTCATGCCAGCAAGGTTACCCTGCCGGAGAAGCACACCACACCCATGGTGTCTTGGACTTTGGTCGGCGTGCCGCTCGAGTTCAGGGTTGAGGGCGGACTCCATTTATCTTGTGGCTTGCTTAAGAACCCCCCAATCTCTAATACTAAAAACCTTGGGGGTTTTGGGTGGTTTTATTACCAGGGAGGGGGACTTTCATAGTAGGGGGATAAGTGAATGACTTTTTTTGCCAGTAAGTCTGCAGGACTGCAGGACGTGTTTATCGTTAACCTTCCCCATTGTCCTTGCTAGTTACTTCGTGCGCTTCCTTCCGTCGAAGACCAAAGCACTCCATAACAAGGCAACTCCAAGGAAAGAATCCTGAACCATGGGCACCGCGAACCCGCAACCTTAAAAGGTAAGCTCTTCAACCAGAACCCTGCAAACCCTGTAAACCTTAAACCCGAAACCCTAAACCAAAACCTTAAATTAAAACCCTGAACCCCAGCAAGACCTCGAAGTCCCCCCCCAAGAGCGAATCGTCAGGTGATGGTGGCGTTGGGTACCGGCATTGCGCCCATGCGTGCTTTCATTGAGGCACCAGCCCCTAAACCCTAAACCTTTTTTGGGGCCCTCCAGTTATGAGCCCCCCCGCCCCCCCACTTGGGAACTTCGAGAGGCTTCAGGGCCACATGGAGCCGCCTCCCCGGTTTACTGTCAAGGTTCCTTTATGAAGCAACCAATCCCCAAAAAGGGCACCCTTGGTAGAATATGGCTATTGGGCCACGGAGTTTGTTTGCGTGAAGCCACCCTATTCTGGATAACGAAGGCAGCTTCAACCAGCATCGCCGTTTACCTGAAATGCACGTTCGTTACCAGGAGGTTGTTTCAAGTACTTTGTTCGTTTGTCAGCTTATTCAAGAATTGCCAGGAAGCTGGACATGTCGGGCCTTCGTTGAAAAGAAGCCAAAGCACACTAACCTAGCTGCATTATTCGCTGAACACGTACACGGAAAGGCTGAGTTTTTACTGAATTCATACCCAAAACCCGAATCCCTAAACCAATTCTTGTCATAAAGTTGGGGAGCACCGGGTTAGGGTTTAGGGTTTAGGGTTTAGGGTTTAGGGTTTAGGGTTTAGGGTTTAGGGTTTAGGGTTTAGGGGAAGAAGACATGCCCACCCTCAATAGCAGCTGCAGAGTTCACGACTCGGAGGGCCGTATCCCCTTTCATGCAGGCACTCGAAGTCCCCAAAAGCCAGCACAAGGATGCTAATCCCTAAACCCTAAACCCTAAACCCTAAACCCTAAACCGCCCAAAAGCCAGCGCAAGGATGGTTCTACGCTTAAGCCCGAGATCGCACTCCTCTCCCTACCCCCCCCCCCCCTTCCCCTTTCGGGTGATTTGGTAGCCTAGTGGTACCCTTTTTCCCTTTTTTGGCGTTCTGGGTTCCCTTATAAAAAAAAAAACCACTAGAAGAGGGATGGCCCGAAAGCATCGATCTGCCGTGCGTTGACCCCACGCAGCTGACTCTTTGCCGAAGTGTATGCACTTGGAGAAATGTATGCACTTACACGGTTGCATAGTCACTTGTACACTGCACTGGTCTAGTGGACGTGTATGCACTTGAACTGCATGGCATTCAAGTGTGTGGAGTTGAATGCCATGCACTTGTGGTCAACTGTATACACTTCATCGGCCTTCAATACATCTGAAGTTAGCGGAGTTAACGGACTTGAACTCGACATTTGTTAAACTTATTGCACTTGAGCAACTGTATGAACTTCACTTGTTTGCACCCGACTCGACTGCGCACGTCCAATCCACGCGAAGCCATGAATGAAAAGACAAAACAGCATTCAACGCGAGAGCCGTCAGCCATGAGCA